GGGCGCGCTGGGCGGCTGCGGCCGAGGCGCTGCTCCGAGCACAGAGCGAGGTCCCCGCGCGCCTTCCGGGTGCCTTATATGTCCGCGGCGGCCGCGCGCAGCCCCGCCCCGCGGCTCCCACGCCCCCCGGCCCCGGCTCTCCGTCCGGGGGCGGGGCTAAGCTTTGTTGCACCTGCTGACCAGATCTTGTCGTAAGCTTGATACCTTGCTGGCGTCTGCGGTTGCCACACGGGAAAAGATGTAAAAGATAAACTGAAGGTCTCCTGGAGAGATGCAGTGGAGAGATACAGTAAACACCGTCGGTTAACTACAACTGTTTGTTCTAGCCCGCCCTCCCCCTTCGCCCTGTAAAAAAAGTGTAGAAATTGATTCTTCTTAGACAAGTTAGAATGGAAAGCAAGAAATTTAGAAAACTTCAGAATGCTAAACACATTATACCCAGAAAAAAACGTGACAATAAGGTTATAAATAATCACAAAAATGAATAGCCGTGGGGCTGGTACAGAAGGCAGATAATGGCCTTTGGCTGGCAAGTAAATGCCCGTCGAGTACAGTGTGAAATCCATAAGTCTTAGGAAATTTTTTGATGAACTGAAATTTCTAAAAGACTTTGCAAGGAACAGGTGAATTGTAAAATACACCTTATCGCGGTTAATATGTTGTGGGAAAAAATGCGGGGTTTGAGGTCATAAATAGTAATGTTCAAATCCAAGGTCTGCCACTTAGGAGATCTGGGACCTTGAAAAAAAAAATTATTCTCTTAGAGGATCAGAGTTTCCATAACTCTTGAATACAGATAAGATGTTCCATCTTTCAGGGCCATTCTGAGGGTTAGACAAACTAACGCACGTCACAAAGTGAATCATAGCCTTGTGGGCCTCGCTCCCTAAGAGTGCTTTTAAAGAGACTAAAGGCCAAAGTTAGTAGATATTGCAAATACGCAAAATAAAGGGCACTTTAAAGAATATTCAGGGCTCGGCGCCTGTGGCTCAAGCGGCTAAGGCGCCAGCCACATACACCTAAGGTGGCGGGTTCGAATCCCCAGCCCGGGCCC